ACCAATAGTATTTTGTTGCAGCAAAACTGTGCAAACTGAGGCAGGGTATCAATACAATTAGTCAGAAAATCAACTCCATTATATTTGTATTTTTCCCTGTATTTTTCAAAGGTTTGACACATGGAACCTTCTTCCAAATCCCTGTTGGGACAAGTTTTAATTTAGCTATAGTTCATCTCAGTGCCTACCTTACTGGCTTCTTACCAACTGTGTTGATTTAGGCCCTCCCAGAAGCTGGAGTTAGGAGTCTAAGAGGACAGTTGGAATATTTTTTTGAGATGTTTGTGGTGAGAAAAATCAAACCACGATGTACATTTGAAACCTGTGCAAGGAAAAGGAAAATGGGATGGGGGAGGGGTCTGGGCAGAACGTTGGGGATGCTTAGGGCAAGTGCCACCTTGGGTCTAAATCTGAGGCACACCCCTAAGAGCTGCACCTGGAGGCTAGAGCATACTACACACAGCACACACCTCCACAGCTAGCAAACTCACATTTTACTTTTTTGCTTAGCCTGGAACGTGTAGTTTTCAATAGGGAAAAAAAACGGAAAAAAAACCACAAAGCCAGTATGTGTAATTCAAACAGAAGCCAAAGAAATGCTCATTTGAGACCTGTAAACCCATGAACCTAAATGATCCACATTTCCTTCTCTAGATCATGTTAGAAAGATGGCTTGAATGAGTGTGATTTTTGATAGTTGTGAACTTTGATAGTAGTAACAATGTTTAGCCTGCTGAGCTGCAGACAGTACTTGCTGTAGGACTGTGTTCCTTATAAAGCTGCAACACAAGTGCTGGCTTACACAGCATACAAGCTAAACAGATGTCATGATACCAAATAGGAGGGGAAGCTGTATGTTGCATGATGGAGTTTAAAAGCAAAAAATGCTTAACAGAATGGCTTGAGAAATCAGGTGAAATTCTGTAAAATGAGATGAAATTTTATTATGTATTTAGTACAGGGTCTACAGGATCTCACTACCCAGATCGGAGTTGTAATGAGTCTCTTATTTTCAGCTTCCCAAGCACTGGGATTACAGGTGCATGCCACCACAACCAGTCTCAATCACCATCTCAGCGAGCCCTAGGGAATGGGCCGGCACAGATGCAGGGGATCGAACCCCAGTCTCTGCATCTGCCTAATCTGCTTAGGCACTTTAATCTGCTGAGGTGAAATTTTGTAAGACCTATAATTCTATTTATAAAAATGAGATTATATTTAAAAAAAAAAAACCTCTACCTGGGAACAAAATGCAATACCAACTACATAAACCACAAGGTGGTTTCACCAATCAAAATAGGTAGGTTGTCTTGATGTTATTAAAAAGTAATTTTTTACAAGTTCATTTAAAACAGTAAACTCTTATTTCCTGGTGCCAATTTATGTTGAATACCAATATGAAACATAGTCAAACATGTCCCTGGAGCTCTGAGAAATAGGTGAAAACCTTTGACCTAAAGCAGAGGGTAGGCCCATTCTCTCTCATGCGTTAAGATTTGACACAGGGAGATCAAATTGGCTTGGCACACTTCAAAGCATTTTGAAAATCTTCATCCCATAAAATAACAATGAACATATCTGAAAATGTGCTGTGTAAAAACTGGTGAGGGATCTCAGCTCCTTGGGAGGGTGGAGGATTATATGAGCCCAGGAGTTCAAAGCCATCTTGGGCAAAGTATCAAGGCACCAGCCTCAAAAACAACAGCTGGGCACAAGAGCATGGCTGTAATCCCAGCACTCTGGGAGGTGAAGCACAAAAATGATAAATTCAAATCCAGCCTCAGGAACTCAGTGAGATCCTGGCTGAGGACAAAAACAACTGGGGCTGTAGCTCAGTACAACAGAACTCCAAGGTTCAATTCCTAGAGTTGCAAAACAAAACACTTGAAAATATCTGGAAAAGGGGCTAGGACTTACTCTGTGTATCCTAAGGCAGAACAAAGGGGAAAAAAGAGCCAAGAATGGTGACACAAGCCTGTAATCCTAGTACGTGGGAGGCTGAAGCAGGATTTCTGAGAGTTGAAGGCCAACCTCAACTACAATGCGAAATCCCCATCTCAAAAACAAGACAAAAGGGCCGGGGAGATGGCTCAGTGGAATAAGCACGTCCCTGGCAAGCACAAGGCCTGAGTTCAATCCCTGATTCTAAAAAAAAAAAAAAAAAAAAAAAAGACAAAAATTCCACAAAAGAGATAGTGTGTATAAGGTGTTTGTTTTTCTATCTGGTACTGAACCTAGGGCCTTCCCAGAGTTACATCCCTGGACATCTCCCCTCCCCATTTTGTTTTATGAGACAGAGTCCCACTAAACCACTAACCTACCCTATGCTTAGCCTCATTTAATCCATGTATGTACTGAGAATTTGTACTTGTGACTCCTTTCCTAGAATTCACCTATGAAGTTTACATTTTCAAGCTATGCCAGTCCTTCTTTGCAAAGTCCTTTGTTAATCAGAAACTGCCATTTAACTGTACCTCAATAATTGCCACATTCCATACTGTAAACTTTTCTATATATTACATAGACAAATTGAGGAGCTATTCCTTGCCTTTATCTTCTATCCTTCCTGGCATAGGGGAAGTACTCAACAAATTTAATGTCTTTCACCTTTTTGAGTGTCAGGCTTTATTTTTATGACCTCATTGCTTCTCAGATGTATTTAGTTTTAAAGATATTATGGATTTTATGGCACATTAATTTTTATTTAGTCACACCCAGCACCTTTGCACTAAGTCATATGCTTAATCCTTACTCAATTTTTTTTTATTTTCTTACTCAATTTTTGAGATGAGATTTTCCTAATTTGCCCAGATATGACCTGTGATCCCATCTTAGCTTCCAAAATACTAGAATTACAGGCATGAGCCACTATACCTGAATTAAAACATTTTTAAAAAAATCAAAAAAAACCAATTTTAATTTTAATTTTTTTTTCAAAACAATCTATTTTTAAACCATACAAAAAAGACAAAAAATCAAAGGCTAATGATTAATTGGATTTCTGAAAAACATTTTTTCTTGAGGTGGGGACAGGAGACTCGTAAGTCTAAGGACATCCTGGATCACTCAGCAACTCTGTGAGACCTTGTCTCAACAAAGGGAGGGGAGCTGAGGATAGCTCAGTGTGAAGGCCCCAGGTGTAGTCGGCAGTGCCACACACAAGGAGAACCAAAATGCTCTGTGTGCTTTGTGTTAGCAACATGAATACGCTATGCAAGTGTAATGCTACCTTTGCTTTTTATCAAAGGTCAGCTAAGAAGGTGAGGAGGAAAGAAGGGTACAGATTGTTTTTAATCACATATGAACTTTTTAACGACACATGAAACTTTCAGGTAGAAACGCAGGTGATAAACACACTAGCAATGTTATCAAAATTCAACATAAACCTGCATTAATACTGCATAAGGAAGAAGGCCCATGACTATCTAAAGAATGATCTCGGAACCCCAGGACCAGGTAGTGAAAACTCATAATGCCAATGACACTGGAGAGAAGGGAGAAGTTTCAAAGATGTTTTAAAGATAGCTTATACAGGATGCGACAAAAAGTTTCAGTCATTTGACAACTAGGTTGGATAAAAATGCCATTAAACTATGATAAGAAAAATAGATAAGAGAAATACACTTTTATTGAATAAAAATAAATTTTTTCATGTTGAGTGAAGGGTATCCAGGATATAGACAACCATATTAGATTCACGCCTAATAACAGTCACACACATTACACTTGAAGGTGAGGAACAGCCATGAAGTTTTTCCTTAGGTTTTTTCCTTAGTTTATTTCCATATCCCACTGAACTGTAAAGGGCACACAGGAGTCCTACTTACATACTTTGTACTTATCAGGTAAACATTGTTTTTTTTCAGGCAAACATTTTTAAAAGTCAGACATTAAATTTTTAAAGCTACTTAAGCCTGGGGAATATAGGCCAGTAATAGAGCACTTGCTTAGCATGTGCAAGGCCTTATGTCCCATACCTGGCATCACAAGAGAGGAGGTCGAGAAGAGGGGAGGAGGAGGAACAGAGTGACAGAGATGGAAGAAGCAAACTCCTGTGACAGTGGGGCCGAACCATGCACCTATTCAAATACTCAAAAGCCTTCACTGTTTCACCTGACCTTTCAATTTAGCTCATGTGTAACTTTGTTATACATTACCTTAAGGTGAACAGTAATAAGGAACAGGTGGAGGACTGTAACAGACTCACTTATCCATAGCAGCTTAAACTAATGAAGAAAAGGCATACTTACTATGGAAGGCAGAAATAAGTGTAAGGATTATAATAAAGGGTAACAATACAACATACAAAGGAATGTCTTGCAGGACTTATCTAGCCATCTATTAATCTAGTTGTTTAGGGCCGCAGGAACAGCTTGAGATATGAGAGCTTTTATAAGAGTACAGCTGCCTGAAAGTGGACTAAGGCACTCCTAGGGCAAGTAGATCCCCTGCAGAAAAGAGAATGTAAGAGTATCAGTAGAGCACATTTAATTTCTTCCTGCCAGGAATAATATGCAGGGATATCTCCTCTTTCTGCTTATTTCCCTCTCTTTTTATGGCACCAAGAGTCACTCACTGCTATAAATTATTTCATCTTTTGCATACAAATACATACAGTAGTACTTCAGGCCATGTCCTTACTTATCATACAACTTGAAGTTCAGTGGCATCTGACTCATGGTCATTATAAGCAAGTGCCTACATCGCAATTTCAGTCTTCTCTGAAAACACCCAGTCTTTCATCAGGACTTAATTAAAGCATAAAGGACCACTAAACTAGCTATGCTATTTAAGTAAAGATGACTTGTTAAATAACAGCCTCAGTGACCATTACATGCTACTGCGCTTATTTTGAAAATGTACATGGTTGTTTCCATAATCCTTGAAAGACCATATCTTTTTTTTTTTTTTTGGCGGAACCAGGGATTGAACTCAGGCCCTTGCACTTGCCAGGGAAGCGCTTATTCCACTGAGCCATCTCCCTGGCCCCGACCATAATCTTTTATAACGAGAAACTGCTATCCAAACACAGCTTTACATTATTATAAACTACAAATAAGTCTAGTTTCTATCTAATTTAGTATACAGAAGTATACAGAAAAAACATCAAGTGACAACTGCTTTATTATTAAAATTTAACTGGATTCCATAAAGCACACAAAGTAACCTATATTCAACTAACAAAAATTTGATACATGTATTGAAAAATATATAACATAGATTTGTCTAACATTTATATTGTATTTAAAAAGTAGCAACTTTACATATTTTGCAATTTGAATTTATAAAATACACTTCCACCCTATTCAAATCCTCAATCATGTGTTCCATTCATATTAATAAAATGCACAATCTGTATTTATGAATATTGAAATAAAAATGGTACCAACTAAAATGAACAAATTCATTTTGACCTGAACATGCACTTAATTCTTGGCTACTAGATAATTAACCCAATATCCCATTCAAATGATTATTTTACCTGGAGCCTGGCAATCAACATGTGTTTATAAAAACAGTTTATGGTTAACTATAGAGAGACTTGCATTTTCATAGTATCTGACAAAAGTCTATAAAATTCTTTAAATATTTTCTTTCAGGCTTTAAAAGACAGGCAGGATATTCCATCTTTCTGCATAATCAGGAAATTTGACAAGTTATGTCACATAATAAGTCAAAGTCTAATAAGTGTTAAATTATGCTTTTGCCTTTCAAAAGCCAGCTCTGAAACTACTATATGAGTAACTTCTCCCCAAAAGATAGTATATATGCCAAGAAATAGAAGTGGATCTCCTTTCCCAGTCAACTCTTCATTCAACATGTACAACTGGAGTTCTCGAGGTATGTTTAGGGCAGCTTCTAGTCAGTCATTCCTTCCACACAGTCCAAAGTCTCAGATCTTATTTTATCAACCTTTTTTTTTCCTTAAAAAAGAAAATCATGTAATGAAATCATTCTGGAGACTCATCACCAAATACAAGTCTTAACACTAAATTTGAGAATTAAATTTACCATTACCACCTCACTTACCAGGACCATATTTAAAACCATTAACTTCAACCTTCAGGACAGAGCACTAAGTTTGAAGTACATGTTTATATTCCATGTCTCTATAGATAATAATGGATATAATCCTGTTTATAAATTAATGCAAAATTTATGTTGAGAAATATAAACCTTCCACAAATTATTTTAGGGAAACAATTCTACATACACCTCAAAATGGCTTAAAATTTTTAATGGAAAAACAGTAATAGATTTTAAAAGAGTCCCCACCAAAAAGTAAATTAAAAAAAATTCCTTCAGTATTAGTAATAAAGAACTAAGTTATGGCTAACAGCTTATTGTAATCATTTACTCAACAAATTAAACATCTAGTAATAAAATGGAATTAGGCAACAAAAATCTCATGTATTTTATTTGGATGGAGACTATTTTAGGTTTTAAAAATTATCTGGTGTAGCCTGGTGTACTGGTGCAGGCCTGTATTCCCAGCACTTGGGAGAGGGTGGCAGGAAGATCACTGTGAGTTTGAGGACCGCCTGCACTACCTAGTGAGTGCACAGCCAGGCTGAACTATTTACAGAGACCCTGTCTCAAAAAGAAAAAAAATCTGGTGCAATTTTGCTATACTACACTCTCTAATCATAAAAAAGGAAACTGAAAACAAAATAAAAAAAAAAAGCAAACTGCTAGATTGATACACTGAACACCTGTGAGAAGATAGTAAGAAAGGAAGGGAAAGAAGGCATTAAAAATTAATTAGCCTGGTACAGTAGCACACACATATCTATACTCCCATCCTCAAGATGCTGAGGCACAAATATCATATGCTAAAAGGCCTGCCTGGGAAACAGACACCCCATCTTAAAAAAACAAAAACTAAAAAAATTTCAAAGGACTCCAAAGCAGGTATGGTGGCCACACCTGTAATCCCAGCACTCTGGGGAAGTGGAAGCAGGAAAATTAAAAAGTTCGAGCCTTATCTGGGCAATTAGTGAGTTAGTGCGACCTTGCCTCAAAACAAAGTTACAAGGGCTAAGAACGTAACTCAGTGCACAGGTGTGGTTCAATCCCCAGTTGGGAGTAGGGGGACAGTAGATAGGCAGATTAAAAGAAACCGTCACGTATCTCAATCTGCAAAGACATTAAAGACCTTAGTATAACACAAAATGGTGGTACAGCTGATTTTGATAATGAATCTTCAGCAAAGTAAAATATGGCTAAGCCTCAAATGTTTTTGAAAACCAATTTACATACATAATCATAAATTGTATGCATTCAGGTAAGAGGTGCACAAAATATTTTAATAAAAATGACAAAGAAATATAAGCAGCAGTAACCATAAAGGCTTAGAACTAGTAACATTGAATTCTTTATTTAAAAAAATGGGTTTTTTTGAATACACAGTACCACCTCTTCTATTTTTAGAAAGTCTCCACAACTTTGAAATATCTCAATTCTCAAAAACAATAGGCTTTTTTAAAATAAGACTTGATTACCAGAAACAATATCAAGTTACATACCAGTTTCATATCACTACTCATTTCCATTGTCAATTTATCTTTGATGCAATCTGGGAACAATTAAGTACTAGTCACTAGATACCTATTTAGAATCTGACAAAATTATACATCATTGGTATTTAGTGAGATATATACATTTAAAATTCAGAAGGGAAAAAGTTTAAACTACTTTAGTTACTTTATGACAAATATTACCCAATCAAAACAGTAAGAATTAAGACTTCTCCAGTTGAATTACTGACTGTATAAAAGCTATTTTCAAGGGCCAGGGACACAGCTCAGCCACACAGCACCTGCCTGGCAAGCACAAGGTCCTGAGTTCAATTCTTGATACAAAAAAAAAAAAAAAAAAAAAAAAAAAAAGCTATTTCCAGCATTTTCTTCTGGGGATTAAAAATATATTATTCCCCTGCTTGCTGAAAGGAGGAATTACAAGTTCTTTAGTAAGTTATTAAGAAGTATTAATTCGTTAAGAGAACAGCCACAAAACTCATTTTTTAAAATTTGTTTAGAAAGTCCATCTTTCTCTTTAGAACTTGTAGCATTAATTCCTACTTGACAGAAATTTTTTGCAAGGGCACTAAGTTCATGATCTAAACATGTATAAAATAAAGAACTGAATGAGTCACTGTCTTAACAGAATTTGGCAAATAAGAATGGCCTAAAATAAATAAATAAATAAATAAGGAAAGACAGAAAGGAAGGGGGGGAGAAAGAGATGGGGGAGGGAGAGAGAGAATGAGAATATGAATATATCTTTTAAGTAAAAAAGCATAATTCTGTATGCCTACTGCCCCATAAAGGGAATGCAGGGAAGAGGGAAGTAGCATATTCCTATATACATTTCTTGGTATTCTAGTTGTCTTTCAACAACACATTACAGAGAAATATTTTATCATGAAGCCATTGCCCTCTGCAGAGCAATGCTTTATGATTTTCAATAATGTACTTTACATATAAATAAGTTTAAGTGCAAAAGAGTTTTCAGCATCTCCTAAATGTAATCTGATTTATGATTTTTTTTTGATTATGAGTTTTGAATGGTTGGTGCTTTTTCTCTTTAAACCATAAAATATACCAAAATTTTTTGGTTTTACCTCTATTTTCCTACACTTTTATGATATCTGTATTTAGAGAGGTATGTTAAAAAACACTTATTACAAAAAACTCAAATGAGGCTTTCTATGATCTATTAATCCATAGTACAGCACTGTTAAATCTTTGACCTGGTATATCAATTCCTTTGGTGAATGTCACGGGTCATTTCTTTATAAAAGGAATTTACGAAGAGGACCAGCAATATGGAGAGAGATTTCCTCCTACCCCCACCCCAGAAAAAGATCAAGTTAATCCGTAGTTTTGAGCAGTTATGTAAAATATGAAAATACAATTTACTGCTGCAATTTTCATATTAAAGGCAGTTAAAAACTTATATTTCCAAGATTTTCTATCAAGGTTAAACAGGCTAACAAAATTGACACAGATCACTGTGGAGACATGTATGTCTAGTTAACACAGAAAAAAATGTGTATAATTTTGTAAAAAGCATTAGCTGCTAATTAGCAGTAGGAAGAGTGTGCACAATTTGGTGGCTGGCCATGGTATTTTTTTTTCTTCAAGTTATTTCTACAGCAGACATATTTTTGAAGTCTACCCACCCCTGAGTTCAGCAATTATACTTTTAGAGTGTAAAATTGTATGCCCTTAATTGACAACATGTAAAAAGCTACAAAATGCCATCTACACAGAGATTAAAAACAATTTTAAAACATTCTTTACCAATTGTTGATCAGATGATTTGACTGGGGTACATATTTCAGACCTTTCAACTTACTGGCTTTTATTTTTAAACCCAAATCAATTATTCTATTCACCGCAGGATATTTCAAAAAGAGTGCAACAGTAAGGCATTAGTAAAAATAACATTAGTAGAAACAGATTTTGCATATGTGAAAAGGTAATTTATAAAATACATTAATCACTGTTTAAAAAGAGAACCTAGTTGTAGTATCACTAACTTACATGGTACTGAGAATGGGATCTTTGAACATTTTTTTATAGAAAATTTTTATCTAGATGTAAGCAAAGTCTTTTCAACAAGAAAACAAAAACAAAACAAATTCCTCCAGGAAAAACGATATGGCTGTGTGAGACAAATAAGCAAACATACCATTTTATATTGTATTTTGCCTAAATTTTAAAATAAAAATGTCCACACTCTTTTGTTAAAACATTAAGCCTCTGTCAAAAATGTATTTCTTATTTTAGGGTACAGGATTGAAGGACAAGATGATACTTACAAGTAAAGAAAATTTACAAGAAAAAAACGACAAAAGTTTTTCAATTAAAGTACTATAACATTCAACCTTGACTTAAAACATAAAAGAAATAAGATTGCAAACAAAAATGTTTATGGATTTTTCAAACATAAATAAATGAAATAGTGTTTAGGCAGTAGGGCTCATGCTGATGGCTAGCAGGAAGTAACAGAGTGTAATCTACTTGGAAAAATCTTTAATGTACAAATAACAAGTCCAAATGATGGACTACAGCAACTTAATCATCTCTGTCATCTTTCTTACTTCCAAA